TCATCAGATGGAGCACGGGAATGTACTTGTTTGTACTGCTCCCTCACTGACTCACAGTTAAAGAGGGACTCAATAGTTTGCTTGATTGGGATATACCGAGCAAAACATTTTTTGCCTGTCTCGTTTTGACCTAGACAAATAGGCACTGGCTCAACATAATTAAAGCTATTTTTAAACACGGATTTTCTTCTCTGGTCAGTTTTCAGTGTGTTGGTATTGCAAGCCCTCAATAAATCTTCAGTTTTCAGGACATCAATAACTGTTTTTATGTCAGCTTCTGAGACTCCAAGTGCAACCATTTCTTCCCTAAGTTTGAAAAGCATGTGTGACTGGCTGATATAGTGTTTAGTGTATAGTGTATAGTTTCTTGAAAACCTTCAAGAATTGACTGGATAACAGAGGATGGAAGCAAAAACTTAGCTTGTAGTTTAAGGTAGAAGAGGGCTAAATTTTTCAAAAACTGTGTGGCATCAACATTTTCTGGGCAGACATCTGACTGTTCACTGCATGCATCACTAGGAACAGTAAGATCCATATCACTCAACTGGTCCCCTTCAGTACAGCCATGAGAAGTAGCTGGTTTTACAACTGAAGCTCCCACAACAGAACCAAGTAGACCATCCTCAGAACTGTGCCTGTGTTTTCTAGACATATGTGATGAGAATGTGGATAACACTCGAAACTGCTTTTCACATTGTCTAAATGGACATCCAACTGTTTTCCCTTCTTTGATGTGCATTTTAAGATGAGAAAAGAAAAAGCTCAAATTTTCACAAGTGACATTACACAAGTCAACATGGCATGTTAGTTCAGTTGTACCACATCCTGGCCTAACCATGTGCCCTGCTTTATGATGTCTGTAAACATGTGATTTAAAAGCTATAAATTTGTGGAATGTCCTTTTGCAGTCCGTCCAGGGACACTTAAAGATTAAGTTTGGAATATTCCTATGAAATCTCATGTGCCTAACATATGCCGATGCAGTGGCACAATCATTGGCACAGATGTAACATGGAAACATTTTTAGATAAAAAATTTAAACACAGGATTGTCAACAATGACAAAAATCACTTTGTCTGTCACACACTTTACAGTTGTTCTGGTTTAACATCAACTTTATGGAAGGTACTGAAAATGTTTGTGAAATATTTTCTGCTGCTTCAACAGACAAAATACACACAAAAGGTACACTTTGGGGATGTAAGTGAAGACAAACTTTTGAATGTTAAGAGTTAAATACAATAAAGAGACACCAGCATAACATTTAAACAGTTTTCTGCCAAGTCAACTTTGTGAAACTCCAAATTCCCAGTTGATTTCCATTCACCAATTTCACTTTAGCAGCTAATCATAGCAATTCAAGTCAAATTGCACAAAAGAAAGAAAAAGAGCTTCCAAACATGTCAATATTTGTAAATATGAATCATAAAAAATAACTAAGTAACAATGAAAACGGATTACTTTAATTATTTACCTTCTTATCTACAAGATATATCAAAAA